CAATATATTGTAGTAGGTTAAGTAATGTGAACTCTGTTGTTTAGCTTTCCCTTTGGGTTTGATGGTTTAAAATTACAGATGTTTCGCCCAAACAATTCAATTCAAATCTTAATCTTGTTATTGATTAAAATGTATATTTGATATAAATATAGATTTTAAATATTTAAATTGTTGTTTTCTATTCGTTATTTTATATTTATATGTAGATAACTCTTTTGCTCGTGTCTTCTAAATGCTAACGATCCGAGGTGATTGCATACGTGAAAAGGTTTACGTAAACCTCTGAAAACTTTCTTTTAAATATAACGACTTCATTTGCCACAACGAGGAAAAAGACATATGGAATCACCACATATAGCAGAGAAAACAAGGTGAAAAGGCAAAGTTCAGGCTATCCCCTTAAATGCATTATTAAAACTCAGTGATTCACCAGCAAATCTATATTTACCTATCTCGTAACCTCCTCGGACGAGACGTTACCTCGAAAACAAACGAATATCGTTTACACGTTTTGATCTATGTTGAACATTAATGGTAGTTACCAGACTAGATGTTGCATAAGTCGCAGCAGGTGTTCAATAGTGTTTTCCATCTGTACGAACAGAATTCTAAATTAGTTGCAGTATCAAGATGATCCAGTTTGGAGCTATTAAAATTTGGCACGAATAACGGTCTATTCTTCAAGGATCTACCAGGTACATAAAAATCGATTCTCTCGAGTAAGGAAGGCCATTCTATATTTCGATCATTGGCAATTATTAAAATGGAATATCGAATGATAAGGGTGGTTATAATAAAACGAGTTCAAGCAATCGTACACACGACGTAGGTTGCCTAAACACGAAACTTGTGTTAGATAATTGGAAGCATACAACTTATGTTCTAAACTATTTAGTCTAGCTCTGCAACGAAATATACTGTACTTTTAGAGAGTACAGATCGCAGATTAGATCGATCTGTATCTATCCTTGACTATAATTACGAAGCATTATCAAAAACGCTCAACTCAGCATCGTTACAAGATCATGGCGAGTAATCGTATCTGACATTCAAAATCATACATAATTATATTACGTGCTCTCTCTCTCATCGATATTAATCAAATTTCATGTATAAGATCCGTTCGATCGATCTGTCAAACTGTATTCTGAAAATTCCATTTACAATTTTAACTACAGGTCTATTTGGACACAATTTACAACTCAAAAGAGAATTTTCCATATTATGTAGTTTGCATTAATCTAGGCTAACATTAAATTTTGTATAGTATTACCAGGTATATCGTATTACAGTTTACAACTTAGAAAAGGATGTTCTAAATTGGTAAATATTAATCTAGGCTAAGATTAATTTTTATACACTGCTCTTGATATAACAAGAGCTTTTCCGTTTCGTCAAATTAGTTATTATAAGTAGACAACCAAGAACACAAATAATTGTTCATAAGTAATTGCCGCTACAGGTAATAAATAATCATGTTTTCGGGGAATCTTTTGCTGGTAGCAATTTTTAATTTGCCTACTAAATGAGAATAAGTGATAACAAATGGTGATAACATAATTAATTAATTAAGTTAAGGAACAAAAGTTACTTATGAATCAACCCAATAGACACTAGAATTAAAAAGCCTATAAATAGGCCGCGGGTACATATGAATATTCCCTGTAAGAGTACTCTAGAAGAGAAATACCAATCTCTTTCTAGAGTAAAATTGATCAGACTCCGCGATGAAGAAAGTAAGAAACTTTCGTGAAAACTGGCGCCTGACAGCTTGCGAGTCAGGTAAAGCTCTAACACCGTGCTGGGGGGAAAGAGAAAAAGAAACAGAAGAAGTGTTCGTAATCGCGCGTCGCGGCAGTACCGTGATCGCATGTAGGCGAAGCACCCCAACTAAAGCGTAAGTAGAAAAGTAGATACGATTGCATGGTTTCTGATCCGGTTATGCAGTGAACGCGCGGCCGTCATGGCTTCGCGAAACATATCCGTTCCGTCACACGAGTCTTGACACACGCAGAGTCCCGTACACCCCCAACACGCGCCAACGTGTACACACAAATGGTTCGCGCGTACACACACATCCACACACCGTCGACCCTTATCTGCTTATCTGGATAGTTGATGTTTTACTGACGCATGTTTTAAGCTTTCCTCGCATTAAGCAGTCAAATCGCGAGATAAGAGGCGAGGAAGCGAGTATCGATCAAACATTGCTCGACGCGGTTACCGTGTCTTTCTCCGCCTAACCGACCCTGCGCTACCGATGCCGACCGTTTCCCCTTAACGATGGTAAATAGACTGGGAAATCCGACCGAGATAACTATGACGACAATCGCGGTTAACCTGGAATCGATTCATTTCGACGTACCGCTGGAAATTTCTGGCGGTTCGGATCGTGGTACCGCCCAGGGCTGTCATACGCATCCGGCACGAAAAAGGAACGCGATAAACTCTTTTTTAATGCTCTCTTTGTTGTGGTAATAGGTTGATGTTATAGTGGAGATAATACAATCGCGTATACGTGTATACGTGTATTGAGGATGATTCCTTCTGAAAGGGGATACTCATTTTTTCTGGATCAAAAACAAGATTTTTGATTGTCTTCGGATTATTTATATCAAATCATATTTAAAATATTTCTAAATTGTCTTATATAAATCTAAATAAACCCGTTAGGCTAATTTATTATGAAACTTGAAACGTGTTTTTCTTGAATCTCTGTACTTGAATTCGATCAGAAACTGGTAAACAGAGAATACTCTTTAAATTAATTAGTACTATTAGGTATGTCCAACAAATCGTGATATACCGTCATGAGCATGCTGGATCCCAAACATACTAGTTTGCTATCCAAAAATAAGAAGACTTTACTTTAAAAGAATAGAAAGACAGTATATTCTTGCCATAATTGATAATGCTGCATCTCTCGAATGTGTCACATATTATCCAGAAAGAACATACAGCATATAATTTCTGAGGAAAGGATTATCTTGGTCCAGCTGAAGACGTTAAGGAAACGGCCAGTAATACAGTGCGTTGTAATACATTGCACAACACGTGACAAGTTGCATGCATTACGTGTCAAGAATTTTAACGCTTATTTTGATAAATTAATCTTGTTTAAAGCGTAAAGTGAAGAGTACGATGTTCTCTTTTATTATCTCTATAACATGACGCGTATATCGATTGGTCGTTCGTGAGTCATCACGCACATGTACGTTTTGTATGCATAAACTTGAATCATCTGGCAATTTTTTCGGTGTACGCCACTATAATTATCTTCCACTTATGCTACAGTGTATTCATCCGTGAAAACAAGTAATCCCACGAATAACACGGTACAGACAGTCGTCGAGTTATCCGCATCTGCCATAACTTATCCCCTTGTACATATTTTGGAGGTGTAAATGTATTCACGTATCCAATAATATTGTCTGTTGCAATCTGTTTTTCTAAACAGGAGCTCTAATGGACCTGATTTACTCTGGTTGAACTTTGTAGAAACGTTGTATACCGAATTTAGTACAATAACAAATGTTTCGGTTAAGATATTATTTCTCAACGTCTATTATCTGATTATCTCACATCCGATCTGCTTTTGGTAGCGATTCTCATTTTGCGTGGCCAAGTATTGAAGCAAAACTTTTGGTTAAACAAAATAGTTTGGAAGAAGTTTTGATTTAAATTAATAATACATTTCAGATGCTGTGGATGAAAATTCAAGTTTCAAGTATGGCATTTTTAACATCATATTTAGTTGAAAGGAATCGAGTGCTGTTTCCTAAATAATGATTAAACAAAGGAATCGCCTAAACATTTGGGCACAGGATGACTTAAAATTATATCTCTCGAAATTAGAATCAAATATTATTCTTGCAAAGATCACCAACTTCAAGGTTCTCGTTAAAATATTAACCCTTATCGAATGTATGTCATCTCCAACGTGACTTTGACATTTTTGCCTCATCGTACACTAGACAGGAATGAGAATTTAATTGTTGAACTTAAGTTAAACTTTAGCATTAGGAAGTAAGAGAAAAAGTTGAGACTTACGTCAATGAAAAATTAGCGAAAACAGTTTTGCGATATTTTTACAAGAATGGAAAGTCAATTATTTGAAAACATAGAAATTGATATCCGGTTATCGACACAAGAGGTGAGACAACATGTATTCTCACAGACAGTATTGTATGATAACCATGTGCATTGAATGTTGCCTAATAGTAAAACACAAAATCGTGGTATAATAAAATTCCGATAATGAAATCCGTAAAGCTCGACCGTAATCATCCTTTTCAAACGACATTTGACAATCATTGCGAGTTATACTTCACACAACAGCCATTCGTTTGCGAGGCGTTGTTTCCTACATGGCAGTATCAGGTAAGATTTAATTCAATTGACAATTGACTATTGATCCGCACTTATGTACGACAATTGAATTTAATTTCAATTGAAAATCGATTTTAAATCGAATTGAAGGTTCATTTCAGTTGAAATCGGCTGTCGACAATTAAAATTGAAGTTAATTTCAAATTATGTTTTAATTAACTGATCAGGTGATCAAATATGTAATTGTATGTTAATCAGCACTGCTACATGATTATGGATTGTAATGTTTAGACAATGGAAACAGACGCAGAAAATTGATACCATTTATATATTATTTGCAAGTTCACTATTCTATTTACTTCTCTTAATAAACTGAAATACTATATCGACTGTGATAATTTTTTTAAATTGTCATCTCCGTTTTCCCTGCATTATAAATACCGTTCAATAACCCGGCACAACCGAATTCCCGAACATGCCCGATAATCAGAATTTTACTATAAAATGATCTAATAATTGAATACAGGAGAACGTGGCAGGACGGTTGACTGTATCGAAGCGGTCTGATAGGACCAATTGAGAGGCGAGTCGTTAAAACGAGAAGTAGGACCGTGGAATACCGTCGAAGGCCGAAAGAAACGAAGAAAAAGTTCCCATGATCGGTTATGCTTCTATCGTCACACGTCGGCGACAATGGCGGGAACGAGAAATCATACGTACACGTATGTACATATACAAATGTACTTACACGCCGGCGTTTCACGCTCTGCCCTCTCCACTTCTGCGTCGCTTTTCCAGGCGCAGGCTGTGCAGGAATGCGCGCGTACAACTACGCACTTCCGTTGATAAAAATACACGGGAGGTATAATGTGTCCCGGTACACGCGCGACCGTCGTCATTTTCGCTCGTCTGTACGCGCACGGTCGCGACCGACGGAAGGGGAGCAAACAGAGAAGAAGAAAAACAAGACGGAGCGAAAAACAGGGAGATGAAGAGGGAGACGAGGGAACGTCGAAAGAGGACGCAAGTCGCATTATACGCGTACGCAGCACAATAATATACCGACGATAATTTGCTGGCCGCATGTGCGCCGACTGCGAGTGCGACCACGACCAACTGGCTGCCCCGGTCGTGCGACATTAAGCGTAATGCGAGTGCACCGTGTGCATAGACGCCGCATTAACGAAAAACGAGAACACGAAGGCTTATTACAGCCGGAGAGAGAGAGAGGTACGTGTTACGTCGAGGATATTATATTGGGTCATCCGAATAGTTCTCACCGGAGCTGGGTAATATTAGGCGTTGAAATGAATTCTGTGCCTTTCTAAGGTAAACTCACCATTTATGTATAAAGAAAAACCGTATAACCTATAATCTTCCTTCGGTCATACATTCCAACACGTACAACCAAATTTCAAAACAATCTGATTCATTACTATGTTGATACTTTAATGTAACAAAATGGCGGGTAAATATTCCTGTTTAAAAGAAAGTTATGAATGTAAAAAAAATGATAGAAGAATAATTTCTACGTGTAATAATCGTCAAGCACAATTGCAACTTGTTAGAAGAACAACAATTTTATGGATCCTCCCTTTTGTGTCTAACGAAATGTGCACTGCTGTTTGGGTGGGCTCCTTTTTTCAGGAGCTCCAATTTAACAAGTTATAAAGTATGTTAGTGTCTTAATAGCAGCATTGCGTGGTGAGATTTGATTATGTGCAATTTAATGTCTTCTATATTTCAGGGACATTAGCAAAAATATGAAAAATCAGAATTTCTTTGTATCGTATATAATTTTAATATCCTCCCAATGAAAATCGAGCAAATATAAATTCGACTCTTTAATTTTCTTTAAGTATTTTTACTTAAATTTGAGTGGGCAGAATGGACTTTGAATTCTATACAAAAATACATCTTTTTGATAAGCAGGTGAATATAACTTTTGCCTAAATCCAATGTCTTCATCCCTACACTCATTTCCTAACACTGGCAAAAGTATATAATCGTTTTTTAGGAGAATATAATGTAATGTGCTTTATTTGTGTAAAATTTCCGATTTTTTTTTAAAGTGTATCGATCGTCGAACTTTCTTTGTCAGCGCGGACCTATCCGACGTCGCGCGTAACGCGCGTACAGAGAAAAGTCCAGCGTTCGTTGAGTTCTCGTCTTGCATTCCGTGTTGCCCTGCAAATTGACACGAGCACCAACGCGCGCGGTAAGTATATATTTAGATGTACCAGCCAGCCAGTGGGAGGCAAGATATTTTAAAATATGAAGACACCCGCAGGAGGATGCAATGCGCATTCGAGACTCCGAACTGGAAATAAAATTCGGTCATTACGTGGGATTAAGAATCGCTCGGAACGGAGAAAAGGGAGGCTGTGTCGGTCGTGATTTAAAAATGATCACCGTGCTGGAAGAGCGTACGGCGAAATGATCTTGGTGACGCTTCCTCTTCGAGAGGTGATTCATATTTATTATTATAAACGGCTCGGGTCATTCTCTTAACTAGAGTCTCTAAATCATCCTATTTTTTTCAAGTATAATAAATTCGATGATGACAGTAAAAGACTGATAAGAATATTTTGACATATTTCTAGCACATCGAACTGACAAGAAGATCCTAGAGTTAAGAATTCGAAGAGTAAATCTATAGCCCGAATGATATTTCGTTCTGATAGGGCTTTCTGTTTTATAAACAAATAAGATTTTTTGCCAGGACCAGATTTTCCTTCTCGCTCGCATATTAAATACATAAGTCTTGTACGATTGTGTTTGACAAATATTAAATCTCTGTTTACAAAATATACAAATAATACTAGTATTTACTGTACTTATAAAAATCTCGTTGAATATCGCATGTACTAGTATCCAAAATGTCATGTTACCAGTCACGGTAGGAATACATGAAGTGTCGGTAGGTCAAGTGTTAACAATTCTTTTACAGGAATATTTGAGGACAATTATCGTAATACAGAATTAATTTGATCGTTAAATTAGTTTTCTCCTTCTCTCTCTAATTACAAAGATATAAAATTGTATATAGATCGAATATGCTTCGAACCCGGAAGCTTTAGTGTTAATACACGAAGTGTTCATTCCGTTCAAGAAATAAACAATAATGTCCTTTCGTACGAAGTAGTGTTGGTACGCTATTTTTCATGTACGCATCAGGTAAAGCGAGGACCTAGCGGCAAGTCAGGTATAAAGCATCGACGCCCGGTAAGGGTTAATAAGTGAACCACTCTCTAAGCCACGTCCGATCGCGTTACCTTATCCCGAACCGCTGATCGAGCACGTCTCCTCATAAATTTCCCTCGATTTCCTCGGGCGTTTCGCGTTCGGACACCCGCGCCGTAGACAAGCGTGAAATGGACGCGTGCACGTATAATTACGCTCGGCGCACACCTACGTCGCGCGGACATCGTGTAACGATCCGTTAATAACGTTACCGTTAACCGCGCATTAGTGGTCGCCGCGGCTATTTGCATATCGGATCGGTAATTTCCATCTGACGCCAGCCTAGAGAAACGAGTCCTCCGCATGGGTGATCGGGTGCATGAGTGCGTGCGCTTCGCGGGCGTATGCGTGGAAACATGTTCGATGGTACCGTATTTAAACACGACGGCGCTAGGTGTACCCCACGCTGTGGCACCTACGTGCGCCATTACGGAGAACGTAGCAGTGATTTATCCCATACACTCGAATCGGAGCCGTCGTCTCGATCCGAAATGGATATATGTATATACGCGTGTACGGCGGCGTGAATTTAAAATGCGCGAAGATCGGTCGGGCAGATTAAGCTGGGAATAACAGTATGTTCCTACGGTAACTATCAATTACTCGGCCAACCTCGGGGAGCCTGGCGCGGGAATTATCGAGAGATTAGAGATTCGGAATATGTATTTCTGGTTTCTTCGACGATTACACGCGAGTCGAGCCTGGAGATATTCACGGTATTTGGGATGTCACGGTCTGAGGCGGAATAATACGGCACGCCTCGAATGATTGTCGGGTTCGGCGTTATTGACAATGCTTATTACTATCACGAAATCGCTTCTAGGCATTGATAGCGGCAAAGATAAAGAAACATCAATTTTTATTTAGTCCTATACAGAAACTTCAGAGGTACAGCAGCTATTTTATCGTATATACCAGCATATTTTTATCGTTATTACGATCGAATACTACCATTTAAAGATGGACATTTTTAAACGTTCATTGTGTGATATTCGATTTTATGAAATATTCATCTATCAATACCAATAAGTGAATTCTGTAGATTTCTTTCTGTCGCAAAATATCTTTCCTTCGTATCTTCCGTGACTGTACAATGTTCATAATGCGTTTTTATTTCTCACTTATTTTTCTCAAATCGATAGCGTCATATCGCGATATCATCCTATCCAAAGTTATAAATGAACTTTTCATCCTACAGGTCTCCGCTACTCTACAATTTCAATTATTATAACTGCGAAAGACCTCGCGTGTAACAGGCCATTTTCACCATGGGCGGACAAACGTTTACGATCGGTAGTACGCGTATAGCTCCGGTTTTGATATTCAGTTCATATGTCAGAACAAGAAATCCTATAATTGGTTTACAAGCCACAGGTACACGCGCAGCTGGTAAGTTTGATTTATCCGTCTCGATCGCGCAAGAACCGAACGGTTTAATCGAGAGGCTACGTTTAACGTAGACCCGCACCATTCCGGCCACCTTCGATAAGATTTCCTGGTAAGATACCCCAGCGGTCTAGTAGCAACGCGTGATGTAATAGTAAAGTAACGCTGGGGAATGAATAATCGGGTTTGGAATGAAAAACGACGATCAGTTTGACGATCAATTTATTGATTGGCGCGAACGCGAGATGAGACGAACACCCCTGGGTACCAGAGGTTCGATTATGGCAGTGGAAACACGGTGACAAAGTGGCTTTGAATGGAATTCTTCAAGTTAACTTTCCATTACATAAATTTTGTTTAGCACTTTCATGAAGAAATGATTTCCTGATTGTTTATATTAATTATATTATTCATAAAGCTGAACGATAGGTTAGAAAGGAAGTGTACTTGAAGTATGAAAGATACGTATAAAGAAAGCATGGAGTTACATGAATTTTAAAATTCGAAAATAAAATGTTAAATACTTTTCACACGGACGCTCTCTCAATGGACAGCCCGTGAATGGCTTTAATTATTATTCAAACTAAACTTTTGTTGTTTCAGTATGAAAACTTGTAGGTAAACCTTGTAAAACTTCATCAATAAACTTTGTAAGAATTGTTTTTATTGGTTTTCCTTTATTATGCAATAAAGCAGCGTTTCTGAAACTGGAGCGCGCAAACTCTCGGAGGAGACAGACATGTATAATAAGATAAGGAAAATGCTTACGGTAATATTGTTCTTTTATTAATGAACTTCCTTATGCCTCGGGTCGTAAAATGAACAATATTTTGTTCGTATGTTAAACTGAAGCTTTTTGTGCGTTATATATTTATTGAGACATTCAAGTTTTACTTGAAAGATAAGTAATAGAGTTTGTTTTAGTACTATTCGATAATAGAACGCGTTTTTCTATAATTTTAAATAAATTTCAAGTTTGAAAAGAAAAATGCCGCGCAACGTGGCAGAGTGCGTTGCCACGAAAGTGATTCAGCCGAACTTTCAGAAACCGAGGAAACGAGTCGTGAAATAGACAAATCGATGCTCCGCGCGATGACTTTCCGGAAAAAAGTCAACGAAATAAAAGAAACTAATTAAGAAAGAAAGAAAGAAAACAACGGTTGTGTAGATATTCTTAACGCTCGAATGTGACGACTCCTTTACTTGTCATTCAGGAAAAAAACCGGGTTGAGAGAGTGACTCAGTGACGAAAGAAAGCTGGGAACAAAGGTGGTCCTCGTGTGTTCACCGACGATAATTGCACGCTGCAATTGGAGAACGTTTCGCGAGACAACAAAGAGTTATATCAAGATTTTCCGTCGTTGAAAATAATCGTAAATGACAGGGGAACAATTTGCAAAAAAGTCGCATTTAAAACTAAACGTAACATGGATTCTAGTCTGAATATTTTGGATCCAAATTACTTACTTTGTAAATATGTAGTATAATAATACTTATAGTTGACCGGAAAGTAATTGAACCATATGCCGAATGGTTATTCCTGTTCAATGTGTGACTACTCTTAGAGTTGCGGGTGAAATGGTTGTTCAGTTTCAACAAAAAGTGAAGGTAGTACAAAATGTTAAACACGAAAAGTGTTTGGCTTGTGACAAACAATGGTAAAAACTCACTAAAAATGTCATCAAGTCATAGAGGGCGTCAATAGTTGAATTACTATGAAAAATTATAAATCTTGTAAATATATAATGTAATTATATATATATATAATAACTATACAATAATTATCGAATCACTCCTTTTCTTTAAATTATGTATGAAGAGGCCCACAATATTGACATGATACCTTATTTTCAAAACATCTATATTCCAAATAACACATTTTTATTTTACATTTCCTGCAAACAACAACGTTTTTGTCCATGTTCATGCTCACGTTGGCTGTAACAGGGATACAACAAAGTTCTTTAAAACCCATTTAATCATTTGAAAGACAGCCTCACGCTAAAGTAACCAAAACTGAAACTTCCGATGCAATTTATTTCACCCTTATCCATCTCTATTCGAATAGACGAGCATAGTGCGCGCGCGTCCTAGCAGCTTTCTCCGAATGTCGTGTTCCGGTGGCGAGTGTCGTCACCGTGGGCTCGAGCAGCCGAATTCTTGAATTACATCGTAACATATATAGCAGGATCTTCTGCCGAGCGGATTTATAAGCTACTCGCGGCGTGCTTCTGGTGCGCACTCGGGGCAACAGTGTTTGCGGCTTCGTGTCTTTTCGACCCCCCTTGTGAGTCACTTTATTCTTTTCCACTCCGGCTCGCTCGCTCACCCGCGCTTGTTTTTCGTTTTCCTTTCCACCATCGCTCTTCTTCCCTCTTTCTTGGCTGTCACTTCGAGACACGCACGCACGATACGCGCGAGGAAGAGGCACGCAGAATTTATTACGGTGCGGTGGCCGGTCTTATTTTAAGACTAGCGAGCAGCAACACGCATATTCTTCGTCGTACCGGCGCGGGGTATTTACGGGGACGGAGTCAATGGATATTATAGTCGACAGATGTACTACGGCTGTCTAAATTTGACGTCGGCTACGAGTCTTCGACCAAAAATTCGACGCCACTCCAGATTAAAGACACTAGATACGCTAAGTACCAACGAATCCATTTTCAGTTCTACATTGCGTGAATTTTATTTCATTCCCTCGAGAAAGAAATTGTTTCTTGATTACTGATGATTCGGACACCCTCCATACTCTTGGAACTCGGTCTCCATGAAGAAGTTTCTACCTTAAGGAGGGAAACCACATTAGGAGGCCACTATTAAGTGTTTCTGGGGATATTTTTTTTATTGGAAAGAATTTATGTAAAGTTTTTGTAACTTTGAAATTATTTTAAGTATGTTTTAAAGTACATTTGGTCATTTTTACAATTTATTTCACAAAGAAATCTGACATATCCCAAATAATAAGGAAATTCTGTCAAAAAAAACGAAAATTCGATTTAATGGCACAGAACAAAGCAATTCCACCCTTAGGATTCAACTTGAGGGACGAATTTTAAATTAATTTTTTTTTTTTATTTTAATTGGATACATACAAACCAAAGCATGACATATGCTGACAGACTTTAATACAGTATATCTTTTAATTACTAAAAGCAAACGTGCACATATGTGTAAATATCCCTCAAGAGGTTAAAGATACGTAAGTATATATTATCATTACACTCGCATGATTCTTGATGAATGCGTTGGTAAAGTTACTATCTAAAATTAACTAAAACTGGTTAACTTAAACCGAAGTTACTAAGAACTGCCAACTGTCAATGTATACTGCTATATCCTTGAAATTAAAAGAGGGAAAGACAAATCATTTGAAATATAATTATTTTCCTATTTCAATAATTGGTAACAAACATTGCAACAAAAGCCTTGTTGATAATTCAGTAATTTTAGACAAAAATATATAGCATACATGGTTTAAATTGACCGATTCGGTAAATCTAGAGCTTAGCGCAAACGATTCAGCTCAAATTCCACGGCATTTTATAAAATTTAATAAAATAGAGTATAGTTTAACAAAATCAAATAAGGTATGTGTTATACCGTTTGCACTGCTAACTTTGGTATCATACCAGATATTTATTTTCCTGAAAAGAGGGGTCTTGTGAGCAAACGTTGATTTATTAAATATTCGCACGCTACACCGTCGTGAATACATGAAGGACACGCATACGAGCTACTCGTGTTCTTAAACGTTATTTGAAAAGTATCCGGTTATCGAATAATTGCTTTCAGCAATTTCGATAATATCGACGCTAAAATCGAGGACTCGTCGGTTACGAGTTCTTTACGACAGCTAATTACACGTTTCTCGGGACCTGAATAGAAAGGCTCAGTATCCGATATCATTCTCGATATCTCGCTTCTTAATTTATTTTTAATGCGAACCCGCGGCGATCGAGCAAAGGTCGCGCATAAAATTTACAATCGTTACATGCCGCCGAATACCCGACGGAAAAAGAAATTCTAGTTATTCATCATTGAATGCAGCCAGACGTCTTAACGAACCGCGCGATTGCAGTTATCCGACGCGACCGCGCACGCACGATCGACCCACGACAGAAAAAACTCATCGTTACCGGGTTACATGTATTTCTAATTAATTCCAGCAAACGGTATATCACGATCCCCGACCATGACTGTACGAGAAAAAGAAATAGCGAAACACGTCGTTCGGAACTGTCTTTGTCCGAGCAAAAGTACACATTGGCTAATTGAAACGATGTTGCTTACGTGATTATTTTTGGAAATGCCATTATTTCTTTTCACTGTTTAATTAAACAAGCCGTGTGGCGAAATGTATTTCTCTTCTGTCGAGCATGTGATTATTTTTCGTGGCGCATTTTCTCTGTATTTTTATAAAAATTATACCGATACTGGCAAAAAATTACATAACTTCTTTTTAGAGGATGTCATCAAGGGAAGAGGCATATCTTCAAATACATATATTTCATATCCTTTCCCAAGAAGGAGAAAAAAGAATGTAGATGCTTCATCCTTGCTGACTTCAATCTTAAAAAATGAGCTTGTATTAT